AGAGGCGTTGAAAGGCTGCTCCAACGGAAGTTATTGTTTTTGGAGGAAAACACGAACACGGTGTACAGTCGAGTCTTAATAGCTTACTTACAACTGGGCTCGTCAGACCCACAAAAGTCACGCTTTGCTCACAGTGAGTCAGGACTCCAAAAAAACAAAAAACAAAAACAAAAACTGGAGTTTAAATATTCACACAAAAAATATTTCAAAAGTACTTTAGTTGTTTTCCCAGCAGGGATTTGTTTAATTTTCTTACCCTTGTGACACTTTAAGTTGGATTTTGAAAAATAACCTATCGAAAAGATGGTTCCTGACAATGAGAATAAAAGTTATGTTAAGGTTGCATTACTCAGTAGGCAGCTGTTCTTGTGGTTCATATCAGATAGAAGATCACACTAACTCTAAGTCATTAAATATTAATATTAGTTCTCTGTATTGCGCATTGTCAATATAAAATTGTACCTAGTAGTCAGTATAATCTTTTAGTGATATAAGTTTGCTTATTATAGAATACTGCATGATGACCCTTTTATGACTTAGACTGTTGTTGGAATCAAGACTTGTTTTATAAATTCTTTCTCACAGTGATAATAGCTGAGCAAGCTGTTATCATTTCACTCCTGCCAGGAAGAAGGGAGCTGGATGCTTTTATCTTCAAGAAGAGGAGCCACGTCCTTCAGAATAACACACACACCCACACATACACCTGAACCACTTTTATCTTCACTCCCTACATACTAACATTCCTCTGTTAATGAATAGACGTATTCACTGTTGTATTACTTTTGTATATAAATAAAGGCAAGTGCAGGAACAAAGCGCACATCACAGGGCCCCCACTCTGGTGTGAGCGTTCTGTGATCATGCCCTTGCAAGTAAAAACTGCAGCGTCTGTGTGTTTCTACCTTTAGATTCTTAGCTGAAGAAGTATCTTTAGAATAAATCTCTTGACACACATGATGAACAAACAGTTTATGTATGAGCACATGTTGAAAATGCTAAATGTCAAGTTTAGAATAAAGATAAGAACACTTTATTAGGTGTAAAATTGCAAAAATAGTTTATTATAAACTAAATTTAAAGCAGAACAACAGGAACATTAAATTGTGCCATTATATATTATAGAGCCTTAAAAAAAACCTCTAAATATATAAAAAAAATCTGTCATTTAAAAAAATAACTTTAATGTCCAAAGCTACAAATAAGTAAGAGCACATGTGAAACAAGGAATGACACTTTGCTTTAAGTTCCCATGCAATGTCTTGAAATTGTAAACTTTCTAGTATTTGATTGATTGCTACAAGAATCAGGATCATACTCGAAGAAACAGAGTTACAGATTTGAGAATGTCGCACTGAATTAAACTGTTATACTGCAGATTCCCTGCACTTTATGAAAAAGTTCAATAAGACTGTAAATGTAAATCTAAAATGTAAAAACAATAATATAAGGCTAATTTTTTTAATCACTTATTTTTGGTTTAAATGTAACAAGGTGCTTTTAAAAACATTTTGTTTCCCTAAATTTAAATGATTTGGACTGAAAATGCAAAAAAAAAAAAAGAACAAAACATTTATAAAGGTGACAAAAAAAATCTACAATTTAAACTCAGCAAATATCTAAACATAGAAGAAAAGGCGCTGACACACAGGGAGAAAGTTTATGGTTGCCTGGTTAGGATTCATTATCTGACTGAACCCCCAGACTCTCCAGAGATCTGACCTGCTCTAGAGCGCCTCTCCTAGAAGGGGCTTTCCTCTCTGACCCTTCTGATCCTGACTGACCTACTGTCACCAGCCTTCCATTTCCCCTGTTCCTTGACCCTACTGATCCTACAGACTCCATGTCACTTAAAATGTCACTAACACTTGCAGACGAACCACCTCGAGATCCATTGCTATGAGAAGCACGGTTGTAAGTGTAGCAGTTGCTGAAGCTGTATCCATGGGAACTGTTGTTTCTGTGAGAGTTGCTGTTGCTCGTGGGGTGGCTCGGCCTAGTCTGGGAAGTTTTACCAAAGGAAATATTATCAAAGGACTTTTGGCTATAAAAACTGTGTTCAGAGCCTGAGTCATGCTGGGTGTCAGGCTTTGAAAAATGATTTGCTTCCTCTTCTACATCCACTACACCACTTGCTGCTGGTTCAGAAGCCTGAGTGAAAGTTACATCAAGTGACCTTTCTTTATGAAGGGCTGCTCTAGTAGGGGATGGAGACTTGTGCAATCTGGTGTCAGACAATCCAACGGGGGCAGCAGACGGGGCACCTCCTACCTAAAAACCAGAAATTACATTTGATGAGACAATGTGAAAAACGATTCTATTCTAACTATTCTAATCAAAACTAAAACTGAAGTAACATTAATAATGTCTCATTAACAGATACTCCTCTCATCCTGAGCTGCTAAAGAGAATGTGAACGCATTAAACTATCATTCTTGAACCTAACAATCTGTAGTCCGAGTTAATCTACATTTCTGCTTGATGTGGTTACAAATCTAATGTCCACCATTATCACAGAGGGCAAATCTACAGTGCTGTGAAGCAGTGATTTATTTATCCACAATTAAATATTTGCGTACAGATTTGTGCTCTTAAAGTTTTTCACAGGCTTATGCAAACTTTAAAATATTCACCCCACCTGCCAACAGAACATGCTTCCAAAGTTTGCTTTGCATATTCTTACCAAAGACAGAGCATCGATCCTGTAACGCCCTCCAGGCGGTGATGCCGCACCATGCAAAAGTGGTTCTATTGTGGAGAAAAGCTGAGGTCTTCCCAGAGGGTGGAAATCGGACTTGTCAATTCCAGCCATTGAAGCTAGCTGACCTAAGCTACAAAAAACAAGAAAGAAAAAAAGACATGCAATCTAATAAAAATGAACTTCCAGAGTAGATAACCAGCTAATACCAGCCTACCCTTTTCATACAACAAATGCAAATAAAAAAATGATTATGGTAAGATGTGACTAAGATAATAAGATATTGGGTACACTGGTGGTGTAACGGTGTGGGGGGATATTTTCTTTGAAGCCCTTTATAACTGCACCACAGCTAATCTGACTACTCTCACTGATCCCTTTATGATCCCAGTGTACTCACCTTCTGATGGCTGCTTTCAGCATGATAACGTCATATTAGTCTTTGAACATGACAATGAGTTCACTGTACTCAAATAGCCTCCACAGCCACCAGATCTTAATCCAGCAGAGCATATGTTTGCTTAATCTATTCTATTAATAATTAAGGTAGTTCTGAAAGCAAAAATGGATTCAGCCTTGTGCAAGAAGACGCACCTAACTAAGTGGCTAGTGGGCGCATTTTAGATTTAAAAAAAATTCCAGAATGATACCCTGATTGAGTGAGTGACTGACTCAAAGATGACTGCGAAATTATACCTAACCCATGGGCTTTGGTTTCCATATACTAATCCAAGAAATGACAATGACAAACCTAGAGTTTCGTTTTGAATGAAACCCGTCCTGTCAGAATTAAACTGCAGAATCAATATCAAATTGGCCAATATTAAAATTAACTGCAGATATTTCCAAAAGAAACTCAAATCTAAGATGCACACCTTTTTTAAATATCACTAGTCTAATATTTTAGAAAATACACCTGTTTGACATCTTATCCCAAGTCAAATACGAGCCATTAACTACACAACCTGTGGTTTTTCCAAACATAACAATTTAATGATGCATCACTAAGAGAAGTGTGTAATCTGAGTATATGCTCTTTCTATACCACTTGAGTGAACTTACTCTTGCAGACCACATTGTTACACTATAAATGATAAGAGCTACAATAATAAGCTGCTTCATCGTGCAGCTGAAATATTAAAGCTACACGAAAGTTTACTCACAGGGTGCCAGACTGTAATACTCTACAAAAATCTAGCAAACACTTTTCTGCAATGTTTTGTACGATGCACAAAGATCACTTAATAAAAAAATAAAATATATTAAATAACTGTAGGTATCGTCCTAAAACACACATTAAATGTAACAAAGGGAAGAAAGACAGTTAAATATAAGCCACTTAAAATGGGGATCCAGTCAAAACAAAACTAAAGGCCAACCTCTGGCTCAAGAAGTGGAAAAAAGCACACCCACACATAATGAAACTGAAAGCTTTTTAAAAGAACGGATTTTCAATAAACCACGTAGGTCCTGTGACAACGGTGGCATTTTGTAATGGCTGCTATTAAAAATACCCACCCAGCATCTTTGAGCAAATCCAGGAAAGCGTGAAACTTAGTGAATGATGTCTCAATGCTCTCCAGAATTGCCTCATCTTCAAGAGCACTGGAAGCCGGTGGTGCTAATGCAGAGCCACTGGCAGCAAGTGCCTCTGACAGGGAGTGATTGGCATCTCGAAGACGAGCAGTCTCCAGCTCATACTGAACAGAAATTAAATAAAGAATAAAGGCACAGCTTGGCACAGTCTTATTTATTCATTAAAAAAAAACAAAAAAACCCCACAACTGTTCAATAAAACTGACTCTTCAATAAAGGGCGAGCTGTTGCATTACTTCATGAAAAATCAATAAGTACCTCCCACCTGACTCACAAAGAATCACACTATTTTCTATAAACAACTTTGAGAATCAAATAACACGGGAAATAACACAATTTCAATAGCAAAAGTACACCAATTAAACCAACATGTTGTTTTCTGTTAATTCCCTGGAGTAAATTTAAAACAACTTTAGATTTGCAGCCACTAGAATGTATCTCTCTTGCACTTATGAGGGCTCAAAATTGCTAATCAAAAAGAACAGATTTTAAAAAAATTTTAAAAATTAATCTTTTTTTTCTGTATTTCAAGGGTCTGTGATTTGGAACATGTTGGTAAAATTAATTTTCAAAGATTTTAAGAAATCAACTGATTGTGAGAGGGTTGATTTTCTATGGATTTTTATATGATTAAAACAATAAAGGAAAACATTAAAAATAAATAACAGGCATAAATCTATCTGTATGTATTACAGATTTTATTTACCTCCATGAGCCTGGACTCAGCCTTCAGTCTGGCCCTCCGCTCTTCCCCGAGCCTCAGACGGCACTCTTTCAGCTCCATCTACAGGGCATGGATCAGAAGAGCAGTGTGTGAGGTGGTTTTGTTTAATGAACTCTTCACATACCACATCTTTGACTTCAGAAGCAGCAAAAACACATTACAAAAATGACTAACCTGTATTTGTTCAAACCTCCGTGAAATGAATCTGTCCTGACGATTAAGAGAAGATGGTCTCGGTTCCACTTCCACCACTTCCTCTTCATCATCCTCCTCTGCCTCTGAATCTGACTCCATGGTAACTTTCACTGTGGCTGCACCCTAATAAGATATTAACATTAATGCTGCTATTTAGGGCTCTTTATTCATTACGCTGCATTACACACAGACACGAGACAGCTTACCTGAAAGCTATGGTCTGTTACAGTAATTCCAGGAGGCAAACCTCTGCAGAAGCAAAAACATAGTATTAGTCTCTACATGACTATAATAAACAGTGAATGCTTTTTAAACATATAATTACATTCCCTACAGGTTTCCATATGCAGAAAAAATACATTTCCAGACCCCAAAAACACACACACAATCCAAACTATCTTCCAAACTTATTAATGAAACATAGTTTTTGTTGTTTGCTTGTTGTTTCTTCTGAACATTTCTTCACCTTTGGCGTCCAGCTCGTGCAGCAGCACGCCAAGGCACATGGGGGGTGCGTGATGGCTTAGGTTTCAGAGCAGCAGCTGAACTCCGTCCACCAGGAGATGGTCCTTTATGAGTGGCTGCAAAGAGAAGACATGTCCATGAATTCTGAGAAATCTTCACCTCTAAGAAGGGCGCAGCGTTGATGATGCAAAGTCCTCATAGTATTATGAACTGTACTTTATCACCATGTATTAAAAGTGCCTTGAGGTGTCTGTTGTGATTCGGCACTATATAAATGAATAATAATCAATCCATCCATCGTCTTTTGCCATCCAATTCAGGGACGTGGGGGGTCTGGAGTCTATCCTAGGAGTCTCAGGGCGAGAGGCAAGGTACTGCCACAGGGCTAACACACAGAGACAGACAACCATTCGCACTCGTATCCACACATATGGGCAATTAACCATCATCAATTAACCTAACCCCACTAACTGCATGTCTTTGGACTGCAGGAGGAAGCCGTAGTACCTGGAGAGAACCCACAAAAACATGGGGAGAACATGCAAACACCACACAGAAAGACCCTGGCCTGATATAGGACTTGAACTCAGAGCCTTGCTGTGGGGCAACAGTGCTAATCACTGCATCACTAGGCATTAATGTGCATTAATAATATTTAATTAAACTGAACAGTGATAAATGATAAACTGATAAATCTTTGCTCACAGAAAATTGTTAGGTCCCTCCCAATAATAACACAAGATATGCGCAAAATAGTGGAAATGATTATAATGGCCAGCAGAACATGTGTGGGCTTTCCATGAATTAATCAATGCAAAAAATATAAGAACTACATGCTTTGTGAAACTAGCAGATATTACTTGCTTCTAACAAGCATAAACATCACAAGCAAATAGATGAAAGACTAATTAATCTAGGTGAGTATCTACTGAAATCATCCTATAAATAAGGGCAAAGTCAACTAAACCATAATCAAACACGTCACAAATTCAAGATTATTTTTGCACCTATCAGCAGGAGAAACAAAATAAAATCACAATGAATTCAGTTCTTACCATGTCTCCAGATGACTTAAAAATTAAATTTGAGAAGTTGAAAAGACACCGAGAATAAGCAATACTATCTCAAACAGACTGAAAGAAATCCTCCAGTGAATTTACA